CCCCTCTCCCCAGCAAGGCCAGCTACCTCCTCTGAGCCCAGCCATCCCACCCAGAGCCCAATTGTCCCCTCCTAAACCCAGCCATACCCCCATTCATCCCAGTTTCCTGCTCCAGTCGTCCCCACTGTCCCACTCAGGCACCACCCCAGGCACCAGTGAGGACCCAGCTGTGCCAGGGACCCCAAGGACACCCGGGGGGGGGCCGGGTGGGTACACGGGGCGGGGGACACACAGGGATTGTTGCTGTTTTGCCATCACTTCCCAGCACCTCTGATCCACTTTGAAGAAGGTTTCCAGGAAAGTTGTGGATTTTCCTGCCGCCGCGGCATCCGCTGCAGAGGGCAGACAGACCACATGCAGGCATCCGGTCCCCCCCATGCGCCCTCATGGGGGATGCCCCTATGCCCCCCGCTGCCTCACACCTTTTGGGGCTGGGGAAGGAACTGGTAGGTGGATTTTTGGGTAATGGTGCCTCTGTGTGGTGGCTCCTGCCAAGCCAGGGCTCCCTTGGGTGTGGACCTCATTGTGGGGGGACACCAGCCCCATTCCCACACCCCAAACCCAGTGGTCCCAAAGTGGAGACCCCAGCCCCACTGCCCCTATGCCCCCCGCTGCCTCACACCTTTTGGGGCTGGGGAAGGCACTGGTAGGTGGATTTTTGGGTAATGGTGCCTCTGTGTGGTGGCTCCTGCCAAGCCAGGGCTCCCTTGGGTGTGGACCTCATTGTGGGGGGACACCAGCCCCATTCCCACACCCCAAACCCAGTGGTCCCAAAGTGGAGACCCCAGCCCCACCGCAGTTTGGGACAATGAGGGGAGAAGGGCAGAGCCATCACCATGGCTCAACGCAGCACTGACCCATGGGACAGATTAATTATAGCCAGGCTGTTAATTGAAAAATGAGACAGCAATAGGGTCTGCAGTGCCAGGGGAAGTGGACACTGCATGGGTACCCCCGGTGACCCCAGGAGGCTGTGAGGTGACCTTGGAATGGGCTGACAGAGGGAGCAAAGGCATCGACATGCCGGGGTCCCAGGGTCAGGGGTCCAGCAGGGTCCCAGTGACAGGGGCCAGGGGCGGTTGGGAGGGGGGGGT